TCGTGATGTGTAGGTGATCGATAAGTGGCAATCCTTCAGTGGCCAAAATGGCCCCCCACCTCCTTACATAGACCCCAAAGGGCCAGCTCGCTTTAGGGATCACACCGACCCTAATAAGGACAGACTCCTCACAGGCTTCCCCTCAGTGATGGTATACGTTCTTCAATCCAAGCCTCCACACACCTACCAGCAAGCCTCTCCCATTATCATAGTAAAACAAAAAGATCCTCCATAGTGCAAACTGCTTATTCCAACATATAGGTATACATAAAAATACCCACTCATATTTGTATCCTTTACATATCCGCTTTTCTACCACATGCTAAGGGTGTACTGCATGGGTATCTGAAAAAGGTGTTCCAATATGGCCCCCACACCAGAAATGACTTAATGTTTATGTTCCCAAGAAGAGAGAATTCACGTGTTGCACATATTATTTTATTTGGATCCCTCAAGTGTGGATTTGGGGGGATTGAGTGTTGTGCACTTATATTTATGATTATCACATATATAATTAGAATTTTATTCATTTGATTGTTGACATTATTATATTATTATTTAGTTTTGTTTTTAGCGCTACACTGTGTTATTATTTGTCACTTACACTTATTGAGTATAAGGTTAGTGTTAGCAACTTTAGGGTTAGGGCTCCATTTAAGCGCAGGAGAATCCTCTTTATATTAGTCCCTACCTTGGACCACCTCACTAATGCATTTCACCCAGTCAGGGCTTAGTCATAGAGATCTCTACAACTAAGCTCTGATTGGGGGAAACACATTAGGCTAGGTGGTCCAAGGGTATGGACTGTAAATGTTTGTGGATGCTTTACAATAAACAATGTAGACATTTGTGATTTATTTGTGAGGCAGCTCTGATCTTTGATTCTGCACAGTGAGCATGGATGGCTCGGCTAGCTCCCAGCACCCAGGTTTCAAATAGCAGTGGTGAGAAGCTGCTTGGAAAGGAGAATTTCTTCTGTTAAATGTAATTCAAAAGAAATCTTTACAACTGAGTAATTCAGCTCATCAGCAAATACCAGCAACTTAAAGTGTAGCTCCACCCAAAAGGAGAAGTTCCGCTTTAAACTTTTGTCCCCCGGTTCCCATTAAGGATTGACACCTTTGGGGAGCGGGTACCCGAATTAGACAGGTACCTGCTCCCACTTCCGCTGCGATCGCCTAGGCCAGGGGTGCGCAACCGTGGCCCTCCAGCTGTTGTAGAACTACAAGTCCCATGAGGCATTGCAAAACTGACAGCTACAAGCATGACTCCCAAAGGCAGAGGCATGATGGGACTTGTACTTCACCAACAGCTGGAGGGCCACAGTTGCCCACCCCTGGCCTAGGCGATCAGAAGTTGTCCTCACCCTTCTTTCCCCATAGTCTTCTGGGACATTTGAGATGTCCCAGAAGACTAGGGGGCCATTCACAAAGCACAGCACTTCTTGCGCATGCGCAGTGGCCACCCGGCTGTGAAACCGTAAGCTGTCACAGCCGGGTGCCCACAATGAAGATGCCGGCGCCAGGGAGAGGAGAGAAGACGGCTGGTAAAACCAGCCATGGTGAGGACAACGCTGGACCGAGGGACAGGTAAGTGTCTGTTTTTCAGTCAGCAGCTACTTTTTTTTTCAGCTGGAACTCTGCTTTAAATATCTCATTCCAGCTCAGTTTTAATATCACTAAACTGCTAAGGAGAATGCGGTTTACATGTGATGGAAGATCTAACAGAGGAAAAAAGCATTTTGTAGTTTCAATGACTAATAGGATTGTAACCAAAACATATGACCAGATTTCACATTATAAACATCAATTTTATTTTTTGCTTTAGTGAACTTTGCAGAAATAATGCTTAAATAAATCCCTGTAGAGGCAAATGTTTTGCTATCACATGTCCGTAAAAAATTTGACCAGAACTGCAAATCTATGCATCTCATGACTTAGTCAAGTGCTGATTTTATGCCTTTGAGACAAAAACATGCCGTGAAAACAGAAAACCAAAAAGCAGTTTTAGCTTTTCTCCCTTGCAAATGGTCAAAGTGTCTCTTGTAGTGCGAAGAGTTAAATTAAATCCGAACAAAATCACTAAAATGTAATTTAAGCTTTAGCATATTAATACAAATCTCAAAGGTTTTCAATGCTTTTAAGTCAGCAATTTTCATTAAAACATACCAAGTAATCCTGCCATAAATGTCCTTGGCTGAGCACTTCCTGTTATGAGGTGGCAATGCTCTGCACCTAACTGTTCCTAGCTGTGCTCCTGCATGTTCACCCTGTAACATTTCGACACTACAAGTGGACATTTCAACACACTTTACATAGGGATAGTATACTGTTGATAACATCAGGAAACTGCTTTGAAAAAATGCCACACAGCCATTACTGGGGATCACCAGTAGTGAGATGCAAAATGAATGTAAAAGACAAAAAAAAAGGTAGCTCACTTAAAAAAAAGAAAAAAAAAAAGCCAATTCTTTATGAGACTTTAGCAAACAATGTAATGTAACTCTGTTAGTGTTTACATTTACTTTAAATACAGAAAAATACTGTGATGTTATTCTCATTTTACCTTACAGGTAAACATTTTCTACATACAGTATATACCGTATTTTTCACTCCATAAGACGCACTTTTTTCCTCCCAAAAAAGGGGGGAAAATGTCAGTGCGTCTTATGGAGCGAATATGGAGCGGTCGGTCCGGTATTTCCACCGCCGCGACAGATTACCGAGCCGGCCGCTCAGCTCTGCAGCAGGACCTTACCTGTTCCTCGGTCCATCGCTGCGCAGTCTTTCCACGCCAGCTTCTTTAGTGTGGGCTCTCGGCTTGACAGCCGGGTGCCCAGTGCGCATGCGCGAGTAGTGCTGCACTTTGTGAATGGTACGGCGTCTTACGGGACACGACAGGTCCCAGAAGACGGCGGACCAATCACAAAGCGCAGCTCTTCTCGTGCATGCGCGCTGGGCACCCGGCTGTCAGCCGGGTGCCCACACTAAAGGGAGGACAACTCCGCGGAAGTGGGAGTGGGTACCTGTCAAATTCAGGTACCCGCTCCCCCTCCCTCCTCCCCCCAAAGGTCAGCAGTCATCCCCTGTACTGGGTCTCTGGTCATCCTCCGGCATCAGTCCTCTGGTTCATCCCCTGTACTGGGTCCGCAGTCTCTGGTCCGCAGTCTCTGGTCATCCCCTGTACTGGGTCCGCAGTCTCTGGTCATCCCCTGTACTGGGTCCGCAGTCTCTGGTCATCCCCTGTACTGGGTCCGCAGTCTCTGGTCATGGTCATGGGTCCCCGTACTGGTACTGGTCCGCAGTCTCTGGTCATCCCCTGTACTGGGTCCGCAGTCTCTGGTCATCCCCTGGGTACTGGGTCCGCAGTCTCTGGTCATCCCCGCAGTCTCTGGTACTGGGTCCGCAGTCTCTGGTCATCCCCCCTGTACTGGGTCCGCAGTCTCTGGTCATCCCGCCTGTACTGCGTCCGCAGTGTCTCATCCCCTGTTACTGTCAACCCCTGTACTGGGTCCGCAGTCTCTGGTCATCCCCTGTACTGGGTCCGCAGTCTCTGGTCATGATCTCTGGTCATCTCCCTGTACTGGGTCCGCAGTCTCTGATCATCTCCTCTGTAGTCTGGTCATCCCCTGTACTGGGTCCGCAGTCTCTGATCATCCCCTGTACTGGGGTCCGCATCTCTGCTCATCTTCTGTACTGTGTTCGCAGTCTCTGGTCATCTCCTGTCTGTGTCTGCAGTCTCTGGTCATTTCCTGTACTATGTCTGCAGTCCATTGGTTCAGAATATTTTTTTTTCTTGTTTCCTGCCTCTAAAATCTAGGTGCATCTTATGGTCAGGTGCGTCTTATGGAGCGCAAAATACGGTACATACAATATTATGCAGTACTGTCTGCCTACTACCTCCAGCTAATGTCAGACATACATCTGCAGTCACCTCAGAATAATATAATATATAAAATATAAATACATATTTTGTTTCTGGCATTAAAGTGCTGCTCATCTTTAGGAGATACAAAGGACTCCCTGCCAACAGTTCTCAACAGAGATCACAGAACAGAGGGGCCGTTTAGTATAAAATATTGATTGGGAGGTCTGATCATACTCATTTACCAGCCCACCCACAGATGATTCATGTAGCATTTACTTTGTGGAATCCATCTGCCCTTAGCTCAGGCACGGAGACAGGAGGGTGTGCTTAGCTGAGAAAACCTCCCCTCCTGAAGACTCCTGTGATGTATGACATCATTTGCCTAGGCATGAAAACTAGGAAGTAACTGAAGAAATATTATAAACAGTTTTAAAACAAGTAAATATGACATACTTTGCTATCTACTAACGCTAGCAGCATAAGGATTAAAAATAGTCAATGCTGATTGAGAGAGTGAAGTTCCACTTTAAGATACACAACAGAATATATAATATGAAAACTACTTCTATTATTTTAATTCTTGTAACTAGATTTTGTGGTAGACAATGGGTTAACTGTGGAGTTGCCTTGGGAATATGTTGATAATTACTGCACCACTATAAAAGTTTGTCTCTCCTTATTTTCTCCTTTCTACTGCAACATCTATTAATAAAACATACCTCATAGACTCAGATATAACTGACATAGAAGAACTAGAAGAGGCTGTGGAAAAGCCGATCTTTGTTTACACCGATCAGAAACCTAATTTCAGGATAGTTTTTTGCCAAAGTCAATGCGGTTTTAAAACACACAAATACTGTGTATGACAAGAGAAAGCAGCGTTGATGTAATCAGTCCAGAAAACAGCTCCTTTCTTTTCCGATTATCACGGACTAAGATTAATTAGCTACAATTAAAAACAACCACTCTGTAACAGCTAATGAGGTATTTGCATCAATTCTCTGTTCACATGTGGACTACAGACTTCAGATCTTTCCACCTATAGAACTAAATCTGTACTAAGTCATAGCTCCAACCCGCAGGAGTGAGTTGGTCCTTTATGATTCAAGCTACACTAAAAACACTGCACTTACCGAAATTCATTCAAGGCCTCCACAATCTTATTGTAAGCCAAGCTTCTCTGGCTGGCATCTGCGGATCTGCGGCTCATTTTCATTGCCTTTAAGGAAAAATATAACAATTGTTATTCAAAACTGGAATCATTTTTTTCTTAAACATGTTTACACAGGTAAAGACAAATGTTCCTGAGCATCTATAAACACTGCAGCCATTTGGTTATTATTCTAAATAATTCGAATAATTAGAAGAACCAAATTGTAGTTTAAAGTAATAGATTTTCTTGTCATCAATGTTAAACCTACACATTTTTCTCTTACTATTTTTCATACAATTTATACATTCAGGAGTAGGGCTAGATTTTCAGTTAGAAGGCCAACAGGCTAGTATCTTTATGGGCTTTATATACCCCTATAAAAATCGCATAATTCAAAAAGTACTTAATTGCTTTTGTGAGATTTCACTATGCTTATGCTCCTGAAGAAAGAACTCCCTATTGGAACAAACAGCAGCCTGTCGCATTCTGAAATTTCCACAATCTAGGCTCCACAAATTTAGTCCTGAATAAAAAAAGGTTTCACTACAGCCAACAAACATTTGATGAAGGGTAACAATTTTGTTATACTTAGAAACAAGGAAAAAAAAATTTCTAGACATATGAGCACTTCTCTAACAATATTGTCCAATATCTAAATATAGTGATGATGAACAAAATCTGTATAAAACATCTACTGTGCCAGTGTTTAATTAAAGGAGAAGTAGTGTCAAAGCCCTTTTGGCCCTACTTCTCCTGTGGGTCACAGGCGTCCACTTTATTCAGCACTCCTGCAACCCATAATCAACCGGCAGATGGGCTAAAGTCCGCTGTCAGCTGACGTCACTCAGCCAGTCCAGACTCTGGAGAGATCCCAACTTTAATGTCGGGATCCACCTAGATGCCTGATTTTCAGCTGGTTCAGCCTCTCAGTGTGCCGATGAAAGCCTGAGCCAGCCACTCCTCCCCCTCCACCGCCTGGTGCTCCAATGAGCGCAGGAGGGGCAGAGCAGAGAGCTGGTGACTGACCTACTTAATGAAGACCGAAAACTTGGCAATCAGCAGTCTTTTATTATTATTATTATTATTATACAGTATTTATAAAGCGCCAATAGTTCGCTCAGCGCTGTACATTACAAAGGGGGACAGAACATGTGACAGAACAACAACAATACAATGCAAAACATGAGGGGATCGAGGGCCCTGCTCTTTCGAGCTTACAATCTAGGAGGGAGGGGATGGTGGCACTCAGATCACTCAGTTCTTTGTGTAGATGTGGAGGGGAACAGATGCAGATCAGACGAATGCTGCATCCACCTAGGTGAGTGTGTGCGTTTGTTTTTTCCAAACCCTCGTGTCTCTTTTTCAATACTAATCAGAAACGAAATGTAATTACTGCCCTCTGGGCTGCAATAACTTTTCTTGTTTATCAAATAGCAGCAGGGATTAACTTACATGTTTTACACAGAAAATTGCTTTTTTCAAATAACCTTTGAAAAAGTGCTTTTTAGAGCAAAACGTGTCAGAAGTGACGCCTGCTATTTAATAAGTTGTCATAGCCCAAAGTGTGGCAATTTTCTTTTTTCCCCAAACTATTTGCCAGAATTCAACACAAAAACTACTCTGCTACAGTTTTCAGAAGTATTATATGACTACAATTTATTATTATTATTTAAGTTATTTTTAACATCATCCCACATATACAAGGGCAGTGTTTAAGTGTACCTGCTCTATGGCGCTCTTCAACTTGTTCATGTGACTCTCAAAGAGAGGAAAGTGAGAAAAGAAAAACTCATGAAATTTTTCATTTTCCTCCTCATCAGATGACAAAGAGAAAATGACACCTATAGCGATCTTCTTCTTCCGTGCAATGCCCAGGTTGGGCCCACAGCTTTCGTCTGACATGTTAAAGCTTTCCTCTATTGACCTGTCAAAAGAAAAATGTAAATCCTAGAAATTCATTCAAAATATATTTGTTTTATTTTATACCAGGGATTATATCAAGATCTTTGTGCATAACAAGTTTTACTTTTCAGAAATCTTATTGTGGCCATACATGCAATAAAACTGAATGATCAATATCCAATGATCCAAATAGACATGGAGCAAAAAAACAAAACAAAATGACACAGCTGAGCTATAAGAGAGATTTTGATCAACCCAAGTTGACCGTTTTTAGAGGGAAAGAAAAAGAAAAGGAAAAAAATTATTGTAAAGCGTTGATTAATTTTGTTTTGGCACACTGGTGAATCGCTTATGATCAACCTACATGTAAGGGCACAAAAACCCTCCATCAATCAACCGAGTACAATTTCTATCCCCTTCACAACTGATTTGCTTTGGTTGATCGAAACGCTACCATCTGCTGCTCATCATTTGGCCATGCCATTTCAGTCTTGCTCAAACGATGTCTGAATTATTTTGTCAAAACGGACACTGATTGTTCATAGTCTGGCTGAAAAAGACAAAAGCCCATCCAGTTCAACCACAAAAAAAAAAAAAAAACAATTATAAACCTATACCCACAGTTGATCCAGAGGAAGGAAGTAAAACCCCAGCAAATCGAATATTCCCTGTATCAACTTTACCTATAAATGTTAGTATCCAGTTATATTCTGTGTATCTAGGAAAGAACCCAGGCCTTTTTTTAAAGAAATCCACTAAGCTGGCCAGAACCAGCTCTTGAGGGAATCTATTCCACATTTGCACAGCTCTTACTGTGAAAAAGCTTTCCGTATTTGGAGATTAAATAGAGTGACTCTACACAGAGTTCACTATATGAACCACTGATGTATTTTATACATGTTGATCATATCCCCCCTTAATCTCCTCTTCTCAGGAGAGAATAAATTCAGTTCCTCTAATCTTTCCTCATAGCTGATCTCCTCCATGCCTCTTATCAGTTTGGTTCCCCTTCTCTGTACTTTCACCAGTTCCCCAATGTTCTTTTTGTGAATTGGTGCCCAAAACTGAACTGCATATTCTAGATGAGGTGTTACTAATGATTTGTACAGCGGTAATAAGATATATCTCAATCTGGAGTCTTTTAATACACTGTTCAAAAAATTACACACATCAGATCTCAATGGGGAAAAATATCATGCTGGATATCTATACTGATATGGACTGGGTAATGTGTTAGGAATGTAAGGATGCCCCATCATTTGATGGAAATTAAAATTATCAACCTACAAAGAACTGAATTCAAAGACACCCTGAAAATCAAAGTGAAAAAATTATGCAGCAGGCTAGTCCATTTTGCTGAAATTTCATTGCAGTAACTCAATGGCCCAGTGATGTGAAGAAGGACGTTCAGTTTTATGTAACCATATATAGCCATTATTACACAAACACTGTTCGGTGTACGCAGTTAAAGTGGAGTTTCCAGGCAGCAATTTTCTGAAAGGTAATATAGTTCTTACAAATAAGGACTCCTAACAACTATGCTATAAAATCTGTACCACAAAATATAAGGAGGGTTGTCTTAGCTTGCCATCTTCTAAAAATGCTAGTTACCTGGTAGGCTCCAGCTTCAAAACTTTGACTAAGCTCTGGTTCACATATATGAGAATTTGAATGCATTTTGAACCACACTGATTTTCATGACGTTAACCAAAAGGCTTTTCTGTGGAGCCCATTCACATATGCGCAGGCTGGCTGCAGTGCAATTTGAAAAAAAGTCCTGTGCAATTTTCAGTCAGGTACAATTTCCAATCTCCTACATTTTAACAATTAGCATTGACATCGCACCAGAAACGCTAAGGAAATCGCACTTGATGGGGCTTAAAATCGTACTGCATATATGTGCACCTGGGTTCAATGATTCAGAACATCATAATAGTAAAGTTAGAACTCCCAACCCAATTACCTGTTCAAGGCCTGAAAATTAAAAAGTAATGAAGAAACTGAATAATCATGACAGTCAGGAAACTGACATTTTCATAGGTCAGCAGAAGCAGCCTACCTAACTCTCTCAGTACGTTTGTTTAAGGGAAAAGAATGTGTTAAATATAGGAAGTAGTATGTTTGTTCTTACCATCGAGGAAATACGCCATTCTCCAGGCTGGTAGTTTGACTACGACGCCAGCGTCGCTGATAACTGCTGGCACAGCTGCTGTTAAGTGATGAGCTTGGAGAAGGGAAAGGGGTGATCAGAAGACTGCTGAGAGAGGCTGTGGATAGTTAAATGGACAAACACTGATCAACTCAATGTTTTAATAAAGTATGAAAGTATACATGTACCACGTTACAGCAAAACACAATATTTAACAAAAAGACTCACCAGATCTTGCTATTCCACTGTCTCTGTCATCACTGAAACCCCGACCAGGCATGTCCATTGGATTGCTATGTACTGTAAAACAAGACTCAACGGGTAAGTCACATAAAACAAATGCACAGCCCCTGTAAGCACCAAGGAGATAATCTGGCAACCCTCTAAAGCAACGTGAACTAAAATTGAAGAGAAGTCTAGTGAGGGATTTTTATAACCAAGTGTAGCAGTCATGCAAACCCACCACCAAAAGCCACAGCTCAGCTGAACAAGACTGCATCTCACATTAGTCTAATTAAATAGTTGAATATACCAATCACACTAGTAACAGTGAGTTATATTGGAAAACATTATCATCACAAATATCAGTGTTCTTATTTCGTTATATTTGTGATTTGGATACAATAAAAATGTTAATCCAAATTTTTACCAGAAAATGTACAATAAACTATATGATAGTGTATATGTGCAGTTACAATTTATCAAAGCTCAAGCTCATCCTCAATTACAGTCACCAAATGTTACACATCAGCTTCAATGACAATATAAACAATATATCTGACAATTTTCCATATGCGGAAATTTTCATCAGAATGAAGGTGACAGTGAAAATGTTTTAGAATACAAAAATGTAATTCTAGTGATCTTTGAGCTGTAATGACTCCTTTGTATAGCTAATATATGGATTTAAAAAAATGCGGCAATTTTACAAAAAACTGTGGAAAATGTAACTATACAATTCATAGGGCTATTTCTGTTCAGCCGGGCTTTTACACACCTGGATTGGCAGCTCATGTGTTCATAAAAGGAATCCAGAAGCTCAACATTTTAAAACCAACAGAGGCGTGCAAAGGTATGTTGAAAAGAGTGAAAGTCAGCTGTGGAAATAAGGTTTTCTTTTGCTTCTACCCAACCTTAGGGTGCATGTAAACCAACCTTCCTTTATTAACTTTCAATGTGCCTCTGAATTAGAGACTAGTCAATTCCTGAACTCCCTCCTTCCTTGCATGTCATAGCCCTCTGCTCGTCTAGGAGTGCCTAATCATTCTCTGTGCTGACCCAGCTCCTCCACCCAACCTCTATATCCAAGTCATCCAAAATATGTTAAAATTATTTTTTTTAATCCTTATTTCCACATTGGAGGCCACATGGAGAGCATGCAATGGAATACAGAGGCTACACTACACCTCACACAGCACACCTGCAAAGAAAGAAGCACTCCGGATGAGGCGGAGCGGGCCCTGCTCAGAGAACGCCCGCCTGGGGCTGCAGAGCTGAGACAGACCTAAATGTTCAAAAGCAGAATACATATGGAAAGGAATACAGTTAAAAGGGAAGTATAACAGCATGGAGAAGAAAATAAAAAGTACTGGGGAAAACACAGGCCATAGGCAGTCATTTGATTTAAGTGAAACTCCAGGCAACCTACTAAATACATAGTTCTAAAACAAACAGCTTTTTAGGTTCCGCCATCATTTATCTGCTTATTAGACAATGAATCGGTAGTGTGACTGGATGGTGCAGCAATGGGAAATAATGGTGTCTCCTGCCTGGCTACATAGAGTGGCAGAGGTATGTGAACTACACGAATGACTGAACACTTTCACAGGTTTTGGCACATAACGCGTATTTAAACTCTAAATTTAGCAATTTGCCCAAAAATCTGCTTTAACCACTTCAAGTCTAGAAACGTTTACCCCCTTCCTGTCCAGGCCAATTTTCAGCTTTCAGTGCTATCACACTTTGAATGACAATTGAGTGGTCATGCAACACTGTATCCATATGAATATTTTAGCAATTTTTTAGCAATGAAAAAGTCCAAAAATTTTGAAAAAGTGTTTTTCTTAAAAATTTTTGCAAATAAATCTATCATAAATCTTGACCACAAGTTATTCAGTTATCTTTTTAGTAAAAAAAAAAAAATCCCCAATTAGTTTATAACCAAAAATTATAATTTTTCACATTTTTTTTTCATTTTTTATTTTTTAGATTATTTATTTTTTGGGGTTTTTTTTTTTAACATACTGTTATACCCTAGCAGTAAAGTGTCACCACAGTGGGAGGTGAAGAAGTTTTTTTTTTTTTTGTGGACACTGATTGCTTTTACACCCATAAAGGCCGTAAAAGCAATAATTTATCATTCTCTCTGGCTGCATTCTTGCAGCCATTGAGAAATACTGTGAGAGCTGTGATTGGTCACAGCTTGTCACATGGTACAAGGCTGTTGTGAATAGCCTTGTACATAGTGACCTCTGTGATCATTCACAGATTTCACAAGTAGTAAGCAATGATGTCAGCAAGTGACATCTTGCTTACTACTTATTCATGTGATCACTGATTGGCCAATCGGTGATCACATGATCGGGACCTCACATAGAGGTCCCATACAGTGATCAGTGTTTTTCGCTGTGGCAGACAGAGCGTGCAGCGGATTGTGGTGCCGCGTGCACCCAGGGAGCGTGCACAGCCTGTAAATGCAGGCACAGTTTATGAACAACAACCCGCTCCTGCACTGCTCCCTGCACTACCGTTTATGTACATGGGCCGGACGGGAAGTGGTTAACATGCAGGTGAGCACATATTTGTCTACTACATAAAATTCAAA